TACCCACTGCACCCTGAGGTCAAATGCAAGTTCTCCTAGTTATTGTTATGAAGAATCAAATTTAATTTTCTTCTATTCTTAGCAAATACTATTGRCAATAGCAGGGGCATTATTCCTTCACCCATCCTTATGGTATTATTTCCACTAACTCTGAAGATATTATATTATATATCACCTCTTGGGGTCAGGCTTCTTTGCCTCAAATGTCTTAMACAGACTCTCCCTGGGGAGGTAACACCCTCTCTGTCCTCATGGCATCCTTTACTGCTCCTCAAACACCTACTTTGAAGGACGGGTAGAAACTGATATAGGAGAGGACCTAGGGCACAATTGATGAGACAAATGTCATGAAACTTAAAGAATTTATGCTTGGGAATCACTATCTCAGAGGTTGGAATGGCAGCAAGAGAACAATCTGAAGTGTAAATGGTAGATACTCAGTATAACTTATGATTATGTGAAGTTGAATGGTTGTTCTGAAGAGATTGGGTATGTGTACATAACTTCACCTATTCTGGGCCTTACATTTAAAAAGACCCTTCATGGAAAAAATCATAAATTAAGTAAGKAATTCTAGCTTCCTTGTTCTTTTTAAAATTTTTATTAGTGCACTGTAGTTAAACATTGGGGCTCATTTTGACATAATTATATAAGCATGGAATATAACGTTTTCCAATTCAGTCCCCAGGATTTTCCCTTTCCTCAACTCCTCCCTCCCCATTTCCTTTTCTCTGTTGGTCTTTCTTCTCCTTGTTTGTAGTTCTATTTAAATTATTGCATGATATATACAAAGGTAAAATTCACTGTGGCATATTCATATGTGTATATAGGAGAKTTTGGTCAATTTCATTCCACACTTCCTCCCTTTTCCAGTCCCCTCCCCTGAACCCACTGAATCCTTTATCCCCTTGTTCTATYCCACTGATTTCTCTTMTATTTTGATGGAATTCCTCCCCAGCTACACCAGTGTCTATAGCACCACAGTTCACAATAGCCATGTTATGAAACCAGTTCAGATATCTATCTACTCTCAAAT